GTAGGGATCGATTACAAAACGGATCGGACAGATTTCTGATAATAAATATTGTTAACTATTTGGGAGCCATCTATTTGATTTTATTTTATTGTCAGTAACTGTACATTTGTATATCCCATATAATATGTAAAAAAAGAATGTGAATGCAATGGAAATTAATAAATATTTAAACATACCTATTTTGCATTCACATTATTCCTACTTCATTAAAATTATATACAATTTACTTCACCACGTATTCTTAAAGCGGATTTGATGTATATTTTGATATGTATTCTTTGTTATTATTTTTTACCTTATTACTTTGTACATGTATAAAGTTCAACACTATATGAATTAGTCAGCATTCTGCTCGAATGTATTCAATTTTCTCAAGGGGGGAGTAGGGTAGTAAATCTTCTCAAGAATGTTGTGTCTCAAAGTTTTCCCAGAAGTAAAAAGTTTCGAAAAATTTAGACTGTTTCATAAAAAAATAAATAGAAATGGGTCTTGTTTTACACGAATTAACCCTACTCTCCCTTAATCCAATTAAATACTTAAAATCTTTTTATATATACATAAGTATGTTCTTAGGACAGAATATTTGTTTGCTGATTTCTTTCTGCTTGGTGCGTAATCACACAATATGTTTTCGTATATACATATGTATGTACAGTTAAAAAAGATATGAATTTTATTTAAACTCAACTAAAATATATTTTTATTATTTATTTTACGTCAAGCGTTATTGGTGTAACCGAACATTTCATGCTCTTGCGATTTGAAAGAATCAAATCCGGAGAAATTCATTCAATTAATTAATTTTATAAATATATAACTCATACACTGACCGACATATTGAACATTGGGTTCGTTAGAATAACGAAAATAATTATATGTGATATATGGGTTGTTTGGGTAATACATCTTACGTATTGACCGATATATACGGTATAAAGTTAATCAGAAGTTTGAAAATCTTATGTTGGTATATGAGAGATAGGGATAATATTGAATCGCTTTTATCCATTTTTGCCATAGCCACAGACAAAGAGGATATCTGAATTTCAGTAAGGTACTTCACATACCATCACAAATATATGGAGACAAAGTCAATGGATGTTTTAAAATCCTGATATTTTCGATAAAAAGTTCGCAATAGGAATTGGGGTCCATATTTTCGGCACCTGGGGCTTGAACTGTTTTTTTTCGATTTAGATAAATTTTGGTCATAAGCTGGCACACTTAAAGTCAGTATTCGTGCAAAGTTTTATCCCGTTATATTCATTGGTGTGTAATTTGTACTTATACTGAAAAGTGAAAAAATCAGTTGAAATTTAAGATATTGTTATATGAGTAGTAGGCGTGGTTTTTGTCTTATTTCGCCTATTTTCGCACTACAATAGGAGTAATATTATGTACCGAATTTGATTGAAATCTGTAGGTCCTGATATATGGGGATTCACCTAAATGTGGAGGTGCCACGCCCAATGTCCAATTTTGACAACGGCTCTAATTAATCTCTCTTGTACCATCCCGGGTGTAAGATTTTATGTCTATGATGCATTTATTTATAGATTTTTCACAATTTAAGTAGTTTTTAACAAAATCATATATGAGGTTATCATCCGATTTCACACTGTCGGTAAAAGTGCTAAAAATATTTGCCCTAAGTGAATTTGATTATTACTGCTTTAGCAGTTTAGGAGATACATACATATGTACATTAAACTTTCTAGAGGGTGGAGTCACGCCTACTTTTCAAAAGAATTTTGAATTTCAGATGCCCCTCCCTAATACGATTCGTTATTCCAAATAATAGACTTGTATTTTTGATTAACGGCATTTTGTGGGCGTGGTAATGATCCGATTACACCCATCTACAATACCAACCTTCTTATGTTGCCAAGAAACATGTGTACCAAGTTTCATCAAGATATCTCAATTTTTAGTCAAGTTACAGCTTGCACAGACCTATGTTCACATAACGCTATTTTGTATCACATAAAATTAATCGTGTTAGATATAGGGTTATATATACAGGTTGGTTGAAAAGTTTCTGCGCTAGAAATGAAAAAATACTGATTTTGGTACGAAATATATTTTTTTATTCAATATAATCTCCCTAATACTATGTTCGCACCTACACAAAATTCGTGTTTTCATAGACAAAAGAGGTTTTCACGCGAAAACTTGGGTTTTTATCCAAACAATATCTGTCAAACGAAAACACAGTTTTCGCTGAAAACCCCTTGAAAACTTACATTCCACTCATTATAATCGGTGCCTGCCCTAGTTTAGTCGATATTATTAGAAGACATGTTTTGCCAGCCCTAAATGTCAGTTGACAATTTGTTTACATTCCATAATTGGGCTTAACGTAACCTAAAAGAAACTGCTGATGGGTTCACCAATACACTCACATTTGATATGTCAGTACTGTTTATTTACATTTGCATTTTTAAATTCAGATCTATCCACTGATTGGAGAAAGACGTACGCAGAGCTATTGAGAAGAGATCAAGTGAAAATTTATTTTTATATTTTCATATATTATTATATATTTTGTTGCATTCCTTTTTATATTTAAGTATATTATTATAACTAATTTTGATTAAAAGTTTGAAATTTATTAAAGAAATAAAAATTATATTATATATAACTGACAATTTTCAGCTATGACGGATTTATGGTCAGCAATGACTCAGAAAAAGACAGGAGAGTGAGCAGTATAGATATATAGTGAATCAATTCCGAATACCCTTGTGTTAAAGAGAGATGCAAACTCACACAGAACCTTACCTTAAGAAAAAACCTTAACTTCGATTGCACCGAAACTATAATATCCTTCACAAATACAAAGGCTCCTTACAAGAACTCGATTCCGATCGTTCAATTTGTATGGTAGCTATATGATATAGTGATCTGAACAATTTCTGCGGAGAATACATTGTTGCCTTAAACAACAACTCGTGCCTAATTTCGTGAAGATATCTCGTCAAATGAAAAAGTTTTCCATGCAAGCACTTTACTCCGATCGCGCAGTTAATATGGCAGCTATATGCTATAGTCATTCGATCTATACAATTTCTTCGGATATTGGATTATTGCATTAAATAATAATCCCTGCCAAATTTCGTGAAGATACCTCGTCAAATCAAAAAAATTTTCCATGCAAGTATTTGATTCTGATCGTTCAGTTTGTATGACAGCTATATGCTATTGTGATCCGTTCTAAACAATTTCTTCGGAGATTACATTGTTGCCTTTGGAAATAACTAATGCCAAATTTTTTGAAGATATCTCGTCAAATAAAAAAGTTTCCCATACAAGTACTTGATTCCGATTGTTCAGTTTGTATCTCAGCCATATGCTATAGTGGTCCGATATCGGCCGTTTCGACAAATGAGCAGATTTTTAGTGAGAAAAGGACAGGTGTAAAATTTCGATCGATAGCTTAAAAACTGAGGGACTAGTTTGTATATATACAGACAGACGGACAAACCGACGGACAGACGTGGCTAAATCAACTCAGCTCATCATGCTGATCATTTTTGTATATATTTTATAGGGTCTGCGACGTTTCCTTCTGGGTGTTACAAACTTCGTGGCAAACTTAATATACCCTGTTCAGGGTATAATAATCCTCAAAAGGGCGGTTAAACTTAACATAAAGCTTGCTATTCATTTTCATAGGGCAAATTTGTATAAAAATCATGAAGGTATAAAGGACTGTTTTGTTTAGAAATGTTTAATCTGTTGGTGTGTAATGGATCAGGTTGGGAGTCACGAAAATTTTTGCACGTCGGTGTAGAAGAATAGTATATTCGTCTTTGATGTACTTGAATTTTGTTAATGGTAGGATCTCTAGATCGTAAAAGTTTATTATGATGATGTTATCTGGACGAATAGAAGAGTAACGTTTAGGAGGAGAACCGTAATCTAGAAAATATGAATGTGTAATATGATGTGTAAAGTGAGTGTTGAGTGGAAATGGTATCTTTTGAGAATCCTTCACAATGTGAACGAATTCAGAGGGAAGATTAATTTTTTCATTGTTAAATTTTCTTTGGATAATCGAATATATTGAATCTCCCCAAGATTCCCTTCAGACTCATACCAAATATAATTATTAGACTCGTGAGTAATTTAAATATGTTTTATTAACCGTGTTTTTAAACACTGACTTATCAAAATTAGGGTCGCTAATAAATTTTACTTCAATGGAGATTTTTATTTTTATTTAATAAACTCCACCTGGGCTCTCAACTGTTTATTTTACCTAACCGTGATGAATCGACTGCAGTCAGTAAAGCCTCTTAGAAACATTCAAAAGAAAAATTAACTGTTAATACAAAAAAACAAAAAAACAAAACAAAGAAATATAACAAATGAAAAACTGATAAAGAAGACCACACAAAATGTCGTGGCATGTTTATTATTTTTCTAAAGGCGTAAGTTACTATTTCGGTTACGCTTGCACTTAGGGATTTTTGAATTTTTTATAGCAACGTTATTATTGGTTGTAGGATTATAAAATTTTAAAGAAACATTTATTATGATACGGTACATGATCGATTTTGAATGTTTTGTAACTTAGAGCTTTTTTGATGTCAGGATTTTCCGTTTATGAAATTATTTCGCGATTGATTATATTATTTTGTCACTAAGCACCAGGCATGCTTTTTGCAATTTTCAAATTACAGTTAACTGTAAAACTCGACATTGTTATCATTTCCTCTGTTTTAAAAGTACACATGGTTGCATTTGTTATTATGTACAAAGTTACCACATATCTCAGAAATTGAAAATAAAAATTGTGCTATTGTTTCAAAACAAAACCTTTGATTCTATTTTATTGTCATATACGTATATTCATATAATATATACATATCTGTATAATATAATTTAATTTCGCAGGGCATAAAGGTCTGGTGTGTTGAACTTATGGATTTAGTTGTTCTCTTTCTTATTATTTTTATTGCAATAATTTCATTATTATGTTTTTTGTTTTCTTTTAGAAATCTCCTGGGACAATAACGACAGCAGCTGGTAATCCTGTTGGTATTAAGGATGCCACTCTGACCGTGGGACCAAGGGGTCCAGTATTGTTGCAGGATGTAAATTTTTTGGATGAAATGGCTGCTTTCGACCGGGAACGTATACCAGAGCGTGTTGTTCATGCCAAAGGTGCCGGTGCTTTTGGATATTTTGAAGTAACACATGATATTACAAAATATTGCGCGGCTAAGGTATTTGAGAAGGTACATAAGCGTACGCCGATTGCTGTCCGTTTTTCCACTGTGGGTGGAGAAAGTGGATCCGCTGATACCGCCCGTGATCCACGTGGTTTTGCAGTAAAATTTTATACTGAGGACGGTGTTTGGGACTTGGTGGGCAATAACACACCAATTTTTTTTATTCGCGATCCAATTTTGTTCCCCAGCTTTATCCACACCCAAAAACGTAATCCGCAAACTCATTTGAAAGATCCTGATATGTTCTGGGACTTTTTAACTCTTCGGCCGGAAAGTACTCACCAGGTATAAAAGAAACATGTACAAATATAAGTAAAGAAGGGGTAAGTTCGGGTAAAACCGAACATTTTATACTTTCGCAATTCGCATAGATCAAAGACGATTTTATCTTATTAACCCATATTATATACCTTAGGCTTACTATATTTTGCTTCTTGTCCGAGACATTTATATTTAAATCTGCCTAGTTAACTCAAATGATAGTGATGTAAACTCAACCAAATTTAATATATGTATATGTACATCAACCAGAAATTCGAAGATCATTATATTATTAATATGCGGTTTGGTCCGAGGGACCAATTTTATTGATATTCAATGGTAAATCACATTTAAAAAAAAATTGTTCACTTAATTTTCTTAAAATACAAATATTGACTACCATAAACGGTTTTAAGTTAGCGGAAAGTCATAAATTACTATATGGGGAGGCTTGAGGAAGGTCTGAATTGATTGTTTTAACTTTTGACATTGTTCAAGTAGACTGGAGAACATGTTTCCGCGTAGTTTGGGAAGATAACTCCCACACTGACGTATTGGGCATAAAATCTGTTCGAATAACGAAAACCATTATATTTAAACTTATTGGGGGGCGGGAGCATTCTCACTTCTTTAAAAGTTTCAAACCACAGATGCCCTGCTTACTGCGAATGGATGTACCAAATTACAATTAGTTTTGTGTCTTAATTTGGCTTGGTTAAGGCGTTTAAATGGTTTGTAATTAAAGGCATTTTGTGGGCGTGGTCCGATTGCGCCCATCTACAGTACCGAAATACACGTTCTAAGTTTCATAGTTTCATCACCCGGAATTCCCCTCGTCTTGTCACAATGATCCTTTGTGACAAGACGAGGGGAATGTATATAATATATAGAAATATTTTTCATATCTTTCTCCATTTGGTTTTACAAACAACCGTCAGATGAACAAAACTATTATTCTCTGTCGCAACATGTTGCGAAAATATAAAAATGTCATACTTAGTTTCATAATCGAAAAAAATTTGCTTTGCAGGTGTCCTATTTGTTTGGCGATCGAGGTATTCCCGATGGTTATCGCCATATGAATGGCTATGGTTCTCATACATTTAAGTTGGTAAATTGCAAAGGTGAACCTATTTATGCTAAGTTCCACTACAAAACTGATCAAGGCATCAAGAATCTCGACCCTAAGGTTGCTCAAGAGTTAGCAGCAACTGATCCAGATTATAGTATTCGTGATCTATACAATGCTATTAAGAATGGCAACTATCCCAGTTGGACATGGTATCTGCAAGTGATGACATTTGACCAAGCTAAAAAATTTAAATATAATCCTTTTGATGTGACAAAAGTGTGGAGCCATAGGGATTTCCCACTTATCCAAGTTGGCAAGATGGTGCTCGATAGAAATCCGACCAATTACTTTGCTGAAGTTGAACAAATTGCCTTTAGTCCAGCGCATTTGGTTCCAGGCATCGAACCATCACCTGATAAGATGTTACAGGGTCGACTTTTTTCGTACTCGGATACACATAGACATCGTTTAGGTCCTAATTATTTGCAAATTCCGGTAAATTGTCCTTATCGTGTTAATGTAACTAACTATCAACGCGATGGTGCAATGCGTGTTAATGATAATCAAGGTGGTGCTCCCAATTATTTCCCGAACTCGTTTTCTGGACCAGACGAAAGTGCTCGTGCAAAGAGCCTGATGCCGTGTTGCCCTGTGCAGGGAGAAGTTTATCGCTTTACCAGTGGCTTCACCGAGGACAATTACAGCCAGGTGACAGATTTTTGGGTTTATGTTTTAGATGATAAAGCTCGTCAGCGTTTGGTAGCTAACATTGTAGACAGTTTGAGCAATGCCAGTCAATTTATTCAGGAGCGCGCTGTTAAGAACTTTACTTTAGTTCATGCTGACTTTGGTAGAATGCTTACTGAAGGTCTAAACCTGGCCAAATCTTCCAAAATTTAAAGAACTATCTTCATTATATTTGCACTTATTTTCAATGTTTAAATTGTGTATACACACAATAACCACTTTTTTTGAGGTTACGGGTCGCTTTGTGAAACATTTTCATGATATATTATTACTACATAAAGGGCTGTTATCCAGTCTGCCAATTTTTAAAAAATTGTATTGTTTATTTTTATTGGATAAAAACCGTTTAAAATTCAAATTGTAGTATTGTTTTATGTTATGTAATTATATTCCTTTAATCTTATCGGAGAAGATTAGGACATTGTTGTTGAACTTAATTTGTTGTTTATATATCGCAATCCCTTTATGCTTGTATAACCATATTATGGTTAAACAATATATATATTTTGTGTTTAAACATGGACAGATATACATGTATATAATATATATATATATATATATGTACGATTTTTTACATTTTTAATAAAATTTGATATTTTCATAAAATAAAAAATACCCCACATTTTTAATAGCAATGAAAACGAATGTGTGCAGAGCTGAGTACGGATGTACATTCACTAACTTACGATGAAATTTCGTTTGCAATTATGGTTATAATCAGCCTTATTGTAATCTTCGTGTGAATTCCATTCGCCATGGAAAATTTCTAGTACCGATTGGATCAAAAAAGATATGTACGATATATAATTACTTGTTTTTAATTAATTAAGGCTACGTTCGGTTGTAACCGAACCTTTCGTACTCTTGCAACTTACAAGGATCATAGCCGGGGAAATACCTTCAGGTGTTGTCAAAACTTTATATTAAGAAAGGTAGCGAAAAGGTTCAACTTCATTGTTCGACGAAATGCTGAATGAAATACAATCAAATTTGGTATCATATTAACTTATTTCGAAGGTCATAGACCCACTTAGTTTTATTACTATATTTTACTTCTCGCTAGCGAAAATTATTTTAAAATCATCCTCAAATGAGATATATGTGATATAAACCGAAGAGGCTAAATTAAATATATTGAGTTGAGTTGGGTATAATATAATTTCATAACTTTTAAGAAAACGTGTTCAGTTAATTTCATAAAAATATCACATATTTTGACCAACCATTTTTTCACATTGTTCAGATTTATAAATGTATAAATATAAACATATGGTATATGTAAGTAGTAAAATTAGCCGGTTGTTTCAAAATCCTGAATATCAGATATATGGGGTCTAAGGCAATTTTTCGTGCGATTTTATCTGTTTTAGGCACAAAGATATATTGACATTAGAAAAACACACTGTGAAAATTGCAGTATAAAGTCAACTGGAAGTTCGAAAATCTTTAGATTAGGTATATGGGGGAAGTATTTATCCGACTCAACCCATTGCGCCCATTGTCAAAATGTCACATAGGTGCGTCAGCATAATGTTATGTACCGAAATTGGTTTAGTAGGAGCAGAGATATATGATTATGCCTAAATGTGTGCGGTGCCATGCCTATCGTTTAATTTTGACCCCGGCTCCTATAAAACCCATATGTATCATTCTGAGTGTAAAATTTAATGTCCCTGGTGAATTTACTTATTGATTTATAGCGTTTTTAGTAGTTTTGTGAGCGCGGCAGTGGTCCGATTACGCTCATCAATGAACTCGTCCTCACTTTATTTTGCCAAGAAACACGTGTACCGAGTTTCATTAAGATTAATTTTTACTCAAGATAGTTACTCTGTAGCAACATGTTGCAAGGTTATAAAAAATTCTTTTAGTTTAAATGAAAGAAAAATAAAAATAAAAGAAAGGTCAATCTCTCTAACCGTAAAGCATTTTGAAAATATACTGAAGGCACTTTTTTTCTTTCATCTGAACACAGTCGAGGTCTTTTAGCAAACGCTAATTCAGGAAATGCAATTTTTCTTTTATTTATAGTATATAATTCTACAACATAAAAATAACAGTCATCAACGTGATTTTTCGGTTCTGTCCATATCATCGGCATACTACACTTTAATTATTTACAATTTGCCAACTTTCTTAAAAGTTCACCACTCAACTTGCATACAATGTGTGGAACTCACGGTTTGTTTAGAACCATCATCTCTGTATTAAAGCAATTAATGTATGTATGTATGTACATAACATACATATGTCTTCTATAAATAGTATACCATATGTATATACATACATACATCAATTGGTATAAACTCCACTAAAAGCTGCCAAAGCATATCCAAGGTTGATAGAACACAGGTTCCGACAGCCGTTAACGTTATAGAACCAACATCGTCATACGAGTAGGACGAGTTTAAAACAAAAAAACCGCACATCCGAATTTTTCTGGGTGTTGGGCGAAATTAAAATTAATAGTATTATTCAAAGCATTTCCCATCTGAAGCTATGTTATAACATTTTCCTATCTTTCTGACAAGTTGTGCATTTCATTCCAAAAAAACTGCGCTGGCTTGGCGGTAAAGAATGATTCAAGCCAATTTTTGATTCCCTTTTCTTGAAGTGAACCGTATTTCAGTGAGATAAGGTCCTTTACGAGGTTTTGCTGTCTTTGAGAACAATATGCATCGAGTAACGCTTGTCCTCATTTTAAATCGCGCCATTTAAACCATTTTGGCGTTCGTTCAGCTAGAACATGATAACCATAAACTTCCACCCAAAAATAATGACTCTCGCCGGAGGCTCAAATGTGAAGTAGTGGCGACTCTGCTAAAGCTGTAATTGCCTGGAGAGCATTAAGGATCGTTGTTACTAACGTAATTGGCAACACTCTCATGTTAGCTATTGTAAATATGTGAGTACTCTAATGGAAATCTTTTCGAAATCGAAAGTTCATATGTCACTGAAAGTTTTTTAATGCATGCTTATCTTGATTGGTTAGAAAAGCAGCGGTCAAGTGAATCTGATGAGCAGAAGGTTTTCGCCACCGTTTACTGTTCTAATAGAGGCCCTCTACAACGGTAAAAAAACGCCATGATAGCAGATATACATATGTTGGTGGCTAAAAAATTAAATTGATTATGAAGATGGAAAAAATGATTCCAAGTAGTTTTTATCAAAAATTTATAAAGATATATACATATATAAATGCTTCTGTTATTGTTTTTTTCTTCAAGTATGAAAGGTCTATAACCACGCATATCAGGAGAAAAAGGCATTTCATCACTTTATACCAATATTTCATAAATCAGGCTAGTACTCTTCGAAATATGAACTATTTTTATAGAAACCCAAATTTTAGTTAAAATTAAAAGTCAAAAGTATCCTACAAGACGGGTAAAAGTTAGCTAACTGGGTACCGATAGGTTATCAGTAATTAATGCATTAGTTATCCGATATGTTACTTTTGTTCCAGCCTCGGAAAGAAAGTAACTATTTCTCCTCTTTCGCTACAAGTCGTTGTGATTATCTTACTCGCTCTCTCTCATTGCTTTTGCGAAAATGATACATATATTTTGCTGTTATACTTTGCCAACTAATTTGGAAAACTATCTGTTATTGCTTATTTAACAGCGTCCTTTTCATTGGCTATTTATTTGGTTAGCCATCTGTTACTAAAAAAAGTTTGTTTGGTTATTGCTATGGTTACCTATAAGTTACAGAAAACTGGTTCATAGGATATTTGTTAGCCCTTGTTTACAAAAAACTGGTTGATCGGTTACTTCGTCAGCTTCAGTTATTTGTTTGGTTATTAATTGGTTACCCCTGCCTAACGTATCGGTTACCTTTTTCCTTATAAATAAATTGAAATTATAGTTTAAATTTTATTTATTAATTTATTCTTTTTTTTTTGAATTTACATGTTTATACATCTTAGATCTTATTTTAGATTAGATTTCAAACATTAACATTTATATATACCATGTATACTTGTACATACATATGTACGTCTCAAACTACATTTTCCTTCTTACAATCATTATCAGTATTTGTAAAAAAAAAACTAGTTTGTGACGTATATATGTATGTATATATGGTATTACTATTATAGATAGTTAATATTAATTGTTAAACTTTTATAGTTTACAACAATAGTTACATTAATTTACTAATTGTTTATATGTGGACATCTTGCACATTTACCCTAATTGAACAATAATATTTAAAATTAATTAATTTAGTACTTAATACTAATGGTAACTTAAATTTTATAATTTAAAAACTAAAATGGTGATATTGAAGTCCAGCTTGAGAACTTTGCATCGAAATTTGCAAATATCTAAAATGAGTTAAAAAGAATTAAAAATTGCTTTGTTTTGTATTTGTTAAAGTAAATTATGGTATCTATATTATATTTAAAAAAAAAATGCAAGTTTGTACACAACTCATATAAAAAGTTGAGAGCTACAATATTTAACATGCTACTTAACATAGATACGGTTAGCTACATGTTAAGAAACGTCAAAAATTTTACTTAAATTTGAACATACAAGGTGCGTTCCAAAGTAAACTCTAGTGGCGCCATCTATATGTCGTCTAGTGCGTTTGAATCTGCTATCCTTTATCGACTTTCAGTAAAAATTTTATTGAAATTGGAAGTGAAGTTATTGCGTTTTTAGTGTCAGTATGTTTATGTCATCGATGCGAAAATGAGCTTCGAACAGAGAGCCAACTAAAAATTTTGTTTTAAAATTGGTAAAACTTTTACTGAAACGTTTCAATTGATGATTGCACGAGTACTTTCAACGTTTTCAAAGTGGTCGTGAGGACATAAATGAGCCGAAACCCAAAAAATCGCGTCTGGAGAAGTCAAAAGTGAAGACAATGCTGATTTGTTTTTATTATTCCAAGGGTATTGTCCACAAAGAATTTGTTCCACCCGGCCAAAACGTTAATGCGGTATCCTACCTTGGAGTTTTGAAGCGTTTGGTGCGCCGTATTCGACGTTTTCGGCCAGAATATCGCGAAGATGGAAGTTGGCGTTTGTTGCATGACCGGGCAACGAGCTAAAACACTCGTTCGACATGCTTTAGGACCGTGCAAAAAGCTGTATTAAAGCAGAAGGAGACTATTTTGAATAAAATTAATTGATTTTGCCGATAAAACTATTTGTTCTGTTTTTTTTTTAAAGTCCTGTTTACTTAGGAACACTTGTAGAATCTTTTGTTTACTACCCATAACAATTTGTTTGCTAACCAAACAATTGATTTACATGGGTTACCTATTTTAAGGTAACAAAATATTAAGATCTCAGCTGATGACATTTTCTAACTAAATAAAAGATTACAGGTTAATATGAAAAATCTTCCACTTTCAATTTTGTGCTAAAATGAACAAGAAGAAACAATTTTTAATAAAACTTTCAATAAATAAAGTGTATATACATATTCAACATAGAAATATCCAATATTGGTCACTTATGATTATATTATTCATACTTATATATTATTATAATGCCGATAAATGTTATATTAATGTCATACAAGGTAATCTATGCCCAACACTTTGAATATTTTAATTCGACACGCAGCAACCATGCCGAAATGCGTGTTGGATTGAAATCGGGCATCTCATAGTAAATATTTACAAATTCTTGATCCTCACCCCATAGTAGACATTTACGCATTCTTGATCTTCCGAGATGATCTCTGCGTATAAATAGCAGGCCATTACTTTCCACAAGGTGGTGTGCTTCAAACGACACAGCACGCTCTTAGCCTTCTCGACGCTGCACACGTCAGCATAATGTTAGTGTCATCTAAAAACACTTAAAAAATACACAAAGTAAATGAATAAGTAGTTCATTTAAACATTGCGCAGCCATGCTTACCTGTGTAGCACGTTCGCCTAAACTCTGCGAGACCAGAGCACCCAGTATTTCGCCAGGGTTAGCTAATGCCTGCTGAAAACGCGTTTCAATATTACCAATCAACCATTCCAACGCCTCGGCCGACAGACTGGACTCCTCCACTACATACTTCGTGCAAAGCGGGGAGCGCGCCATCATGCGCTGCAAATTGCAAGGCAATACAACCTAGAGGAGGCACGACAAGAAATCGGTCTTTCCAACCTTAAAGCACAAAGTAAGGCAACCTACCTTGGAATCACCATTGGGAAAATATCACTTGACTTCGAGCTTGGGCAGCGCATTGAGAGTTTTCCTCCGCCCTCTGCAATTATACTTAATCAATTCTTTGGAAAAAAAACAATATTCAAGAACGTACATTCTTAATAAGCGCCTTTTGAATCTACAAAACCAAATAAAATAATATAAATTTTAAGTCGGCAGAATGCAGACTATGCGTGGAGGATGATGAATCGCTGCTTCCCAGGGATAATTGAAGGGATACACGACTTCATAATAAGTTGAAAATAAATATTAGGTCTGCAACTAAATATATTTCATGTTATTAAATGATTTGATACATTTACTCGCTTATGTACCACACAGTTTTTTGTTGCAATCCAAAAATTTACGTACAAATTCCCCTCTTATGTATCACTTCAAATATCTTTCTTTTTTTCTCTTGAATTGTTATTTTTTTTTTATTGAAACACATGTAATGTGTTCCTGTATTCATCAAAATTTAGTTTGTAAACAATGTGATCTCATATTGTGTTCAGAAATGAACATGTGCGTTGATGGCAAAGGGCATCACTTTCAGTATACATCAACAAATTTAGTTTTATTATTCTACATATTAAGAATAAAATATTTCTCAGCTTAACGACGATCTTTATTTTTTCTCCACCAGCGGTAAGAGTCTAAAGATTTTTCATTGAGTTTAAACATTGGTCTTACAAACCAATTATACATTTGGTCCTTCGAGCCGGATAGTGCTCAAGCCGAAGAAACAAAACAAAAGTCCTGTATGATGAAGCATACAGCCAATATACATTGGTATTACAAACCAAAAATAAAAAGTCCTGTATGATAAAGCATGCAGGCAATATACAAATCAAAAATTATAAGTCCTGATATACATACAACAAGAACGAATACCTGTACTTATAAAACAGGCAAAACCAAATGTCCTGTAATTTACACAAAAATAAAATACAAAATAAGTAAAACACGGAATGTCGAACACTGACTTTTTAACGTGATATGGAATGAAAGCCATGACAACTATACAAGGTCCGAAGAGATGGACACAGCGCTAACGATTAACACAGTGGAGGCACTCAAGGCAATATAGACTTCTGTAACAAAGTTATTTTACAAGCAGAAATAGAACTGAATATGGCCAATGAAAATGAGCTTGAAAAATACGAAACATACATTAATCTATCGTTAATACAACATAGAAAGGCGCATAGTCATCGTGAACCGATATGTGAGATGTCAAGATTTAAATGGCAGAAAGGCGAATATCCAGCCACCAGCTACGACGTTGACGAACATGACACGACCACATCCTGCGGGCACCTTACCAGCAGTCACTTTTGTCGCCCGGGAGTATGTTCAAAAGTGAACATGTGCGTTGATGCCAAAGGGCATCACTTTCAGTATACTCAACAAATTTAGTTTTATTATTCTTCATATCAATAATGAAATATTTCTCAGTTCAATGAAGATCTTTATTTTTTCCCCACCAGCGGTAAGAGTCTAAAGATTCTTCATTGAGTTTTAAACATTGGTCTAACAAACCAATGAAACATATTGCAATGCGTATAATGCAAAATTTTATTTTTAACTTTGTTGCTTTTAATTTAATATTAAATATTGCTAAAGAACTGCACATTTTTGTTTTTATTAATTAAAACTTTATTAAAAATGGTTACATTTTTATATTTATAATGGATATTTTTAACAAACAGAACGTAAGTACCATATTGTACATAAGCGGGATTCTTTTAAGTGCCCGCAGGATTTAAGTTCCCTCTTAAGTACCACAAAAAATCTGAATCTTTGGTCGTGGCACTTATGCGGGATTGACTATATACCTATACTATTCAATATATCCCATTTGGGTTCAGTTTATATCACTTATTTCTGATTTCAGTAAAATATGTTGAATAATATAAATATATTGGACACAGAACAAAATATACTAGTGAAACTAAGTGTGTCATTGCCCCATAATGTACGTGAATAAGATAACATATCTGATTGTAATCCATTCACGGTTTCGGCGAATAATAAATGTTTAATTCTTACTCAACTCTGGTACACTCTCGCAATATGTTGCAACAGAGATTATAATTGTTATGTTCAGCGAATGGTTGTTATACCTAAAGCAAATCGAGACAGATATATCTAGAAATGATCGGGATGTAAACTAAAAAAAGTGACTGTTCAATGCAAGCTTAAGTAAAAATTAAGTTATATTAATTAAATTTAGGAAAAAGTGTACCTTATCACCCAAGTTAGGTTATTATTGATTATGGGCGGTAACACAAAATGCCGTTAATCGAGAACGTAACTTCACATGTCAGAGACATTAAATTTTACACCCAAGATGGTACGGAAGAACTTCACAAGAACAGGTATCAAAATTGCGATGGTCTACCGCCCATCTTTAGTTGAAATTCCATATCTCAGGACCTCCTTACCTAATTTAAACCAATTTCAGTAACAAACGTTATCCCGATATTCTTATATTACGGTGTGAAAATAGGGTTAATAGAATCACAACTCCGCCTACTTTCCATAAAAGACAGTTTTAAATTTCATATGATTCTTCCACTTTACCGTATACAAATCAAGCACCAACGAATATATTAGGATACAATTTTAAACATATAGAGCCTTTATGATATGTTATGCCAAGTCAAAAATTCATCCTAATCAGATTATGTAATATATTTAATAATATATCATGATTAACATGATTGTATACTTTTTACACATTCGTCGAATAATGAATGTTGAATTCATTCGCAATATTCCTTAATATAAAGATTTGCCAACACCTAAAGGTATTCCCACGGCTTTGATTCGAGAGTATAAAATGTTCGATTAAACCCGAACTTAGCCCTTCCTTAATTGTTTTTTTTATTAGTTACTAGCTGTACACTGGGCGTGTTACTATCTCATCAACTAAAATTAATTTGAAGGAAAGAAATTTTGAGAAATTTAATTGATTTTGTAGCCTTCTTTACCTTTGTTTAGTTGTCTTAGGCAAACGGGCCTGAACAGTACGTATTCGGTAAATTTCTAACCTCACTTGTCGTTGATCAGATGATTCAGACGGACGGGTCTCTGCGGCATGTACTCGAAGATTTTCCAAATTTTATGCTCGTTGTTCTATGATTCTGAGGCGCGTAGTGCTCCTTTCTTTCATGCTTGAGGTGTAGATCGGCCAGTTGTTTGTCACTTTGGAGGCATAATTGTAAAAGAACGACGTGAAAAATGCGGTTGAATTTAAAATTACATTAAACATGCTAAGGTTAAAACACCTAGGCTTGGCGAGAGTAAGCTATCTCACCAAGGTCCTCAAGCTGTAGCTGACCACTCTTCCAATACCCGATGTGTAGAAAGTCGGAAGAGTATATATTTCATAGGGTTTCTGATCTTTCCTTCTGGGTGTTACAAACGTCGTCGCAAACTAAATATACATTACACAGCAGTCAGATCCTTTACATATGGTACACATTTGATCATCTTCGTGAATTTACTGCAGAGAATGAATAAAATCAGCTTACGGAAACTAGGATAATTCAATTTGATTGAATTATCTATCTAAATTAATTTAACTCACAATGAAATGCACAAAACTATTCGAAAAACGTTCTCAAATATAAAAGTACGCACAATATTAGCTGTGTTTATTCTACTACACCATTGCAAATATTCATGCAAAGTTCTAGTTTAAACTTTGTACAGTCTCCGACTATCACACACTGCGTGCAGTCTCATTTCCAATTACTGTTTTTGCCCCTGACTAAAGCTAAAGCGCAAAACCAAAAATCCCATTTTCACAGGTTAGTTCATTCCAGAATAATGGTCCTGGGGACTTTAACGGAAAAAACGAAATCCGAAAGCTACTGATCTAACTAATCACTAATACATTGTAGTCTCTTCATTGAACGAAAATAAACCACTTCAAAATTACTCTTGCTTTTTACTTCTATTAGTGAAAGATCCGAAAACTGCTAAAAGATTCTTTAAGCAACGGAACTCACTGGTATTTGCAAATGCACACTTCATAGTAATTTGATTTGCACCAAAGTTACCATTTTTGTCTATGCCTGATTAACTTAGCTGAAAAGGAAATCATTGAAGAACTTAAAGATCAAGGAGTGGTCGGAATATACTAACTAAATTCTGTTCACTAGAGCACTAAACTTTTCCAAATACATGTCCAAATTTCATACAATAAGAACATTTTTTAAAAATCCAAACGGAGAACAAATTTACAATTCGCAAATCATTAAAAATCTCTCCCCCATTGCCGGTCCACAACGCTCTTACTCAACCGTTATCTCCTCTCCCACCAAACACATACCCACAAACAACAACATTGACAATCTAAATTCCATTACTCCTATTAGAGAATGTTAATGAATATTCTATATAACATGCTCTGACTAAAGCTTACAATGAGTTCAGCTGTTTTAGCTTTTATTTTATTGGAAGAAAAAAGCAACTAAAAATTAAAAGATACTTGTTGATATTAAAGGATCACAGTAATCCTCTTGATGCACCAGGGGAATCTTATGTGAAATTTGGCTTACATTTATTTGTATGCTTGTAAACATGCTTACTTTATAAATTTATAAATTTATATCACATTTGGGTGTTAAATTATGTTTATTACGTTTTGTAAATCCTCTTAAAATATCTGAATTTTTTCCTTAAGCTCAATAATTATGACATTTTGTGTTTTATTCTAATGTTTTCCCCTATATAAATAAAGATAAATTAAATCGTAACAATAATATAAATTAATTTACTTACATTTCAAATCTGTCAGCGACTATCCTCTTTCTTCGTTTCTGATAACAAAACCTATAAAATTAGTTTCCAACTATCAGATTCTACGACACGCCTGAATAATTTTTCAAGCCCCCAAATACCGAATATATGGATTCCATTGTTTATGGCTGCCGTTTTAATGAACCTTTCGTTCAATTTGTAAGATATATTTTTGAAATTCAGAGAGCTTCTTTTCCTAATAATAATATGCTCTTGTATAAATTGGTAAAATCGAGTCAACACTTTTCCACTGCCCTATAAACCCATTTTAAAGAGTTTCGGACTTCCAGTTGACTTTATATCGGTCAATAAGTAGTTATTTTAATGAAGTTTAAATAGCGTTTCTTTCGAATAACAGTGTGTCCTTGTGCCTGAAATTGATAAAAATAGGTGAATAGTATATATAATAAAAAAATCCGGTTGACTTTATATTTTATTAAGTGATCGTGTTATTTCGGGTACAATATAAAAAAGTTTTTTAGCGAAAATTAGTCAAATTGGCCTACGAATCCTCTCAGCTCCCATATACTCATTGTATAAATCTACAATGCTTATACAATGCATATACTACATATAATGATTAATCCGAGTGTGTGTTTCCACCTTACTTTAAATAATTAAGATTGGTAAATATGTGCGAAATTTTAATGAGAGGATGGGTGCGTTCGAGATGGCAATCACGACCATGGATGACATGATCCGAACTCTTTGAATCGAGAGAGCGCTGTAAAAGTCCACATTTTTTATAACATTTGACAGGTGCCACTGTGGAAAGAAATAAGTTTAGGAATTTTTATTAAATATTTTGGGAATTTGTAATTTCCACACCACCGCTGAGGTATACAAAAGGCGAGTTACCGAAGTTAGTTTTGGGTGCTCGGTTCCACCGTAGGCCTATATCACCCATATAGGTACAAAATAAAATCACAATAATTTCGAAAATTCACAAATAATATAAAAATATACAAAATTCATCATATAAGAAAAAACTTAAAATTTTATAAACAAAATATCATATATAGTTTTCAGTAATAATTAATTATTTATAACTATAAATTCAACTTTATATATTTACATATATGGGAAAGAAATTCAAAAAATAAAAATTACACACATATGCTTCCGTAGGGATTTGAAGATATTTTATCACCTACTCAATTTTATTTTATATATAAACACTTATACAAATATTTTTAATTAACAATATCACATTAACTATTGCTGCTTCAGCATTAAACTTTCTTACGAAAAATAATGAACTGATTTTGTCAGTTAATTTTAACGGGATTTTATCTAGCAGTTCATTGTTTTGGTTTGTCATCTGTTCAGTAGCTCATGAACTCGTGGTTTTTCTTGGCAGCACTGAAAGTTCATGAGCTCTCTCGAAACGCAAAGAGAGGGTTTCGGATAATTTTATCTATGATCACGACATCAGTGTTGCAAATTTGTCAAAGTTCTGCGTGAATTTTAGGCAACACTTGCAACAGCATCACGTTCTACTGTCACGCAATTTATGCAAATAATCGGCAATACTAAATTTTTGTCTGCACGTCAGCAAATATTACAGTGTTTACATTGGGACTCTTTTGACTCTCATTATCGGTAAATTCTCTTTTGGTGTCGCTCTGTGCATTCACATGAGCAAAAAGAGTCCAGCAACTTAAATTTCTTCTTAAGTTTTTCTGTCATTCCTTTTCATAAAATTTTCGCAAATGTTTGTGCGGTTCGGCTACGCGACACTTAGTGCCACTTTACACACAGACTCTTTTGTAACCCAAACCGGTTTATTGTGGGCGAGGGGACGACGAGGAAAGATAAAGGGTGCGTGCCACTCGTGTTCAGGTGGCACGCTTTGTGTTCTTGTTCGTAACAACTGGCTGCTACCCTTTTTAGCATTCCTTTTCACTTTCAAATTCTTTGGACGGTAGCAAGAGCGCTCGGTTTCAAATTAATATATACCATTCGTTCACAAATTTGAATTCTGTTATCTATTTTTTGTATGTGATATGCAAATATGTATGCATAGAATAATTGAAATATTTTGAAAAATTGTAAATAAGGAGAAAATTAAGATACTCAAAATTCATTATTTATCATTATTTAAAACAAGAATTGTAACTAATTCAAGGATGTTTTATAATGAATAGAAAAAAATATGGAATGAAAAATATATGGGTTTTTAATATTTAAAGATTATTAAATTCCTGTTATAAATTTGGTCTTGAAAATATTAGTAGCTGGTATTCACTACATTCTGGTGGATTATGGAATTCCCGACTTCAGTATTTCTTTGAAACTAATATATAAGGCGGGTAGGTATTATGCATATTGTTCTACCCCATTCATGGTAATTCATTGCAAGCAAAATGTAAGACCTTCATCCCCAAATGAAATATGCAACTCTATGTGTCGCGTAGCCGAACCGCACAAACATTTGCGAAAATTTTATGAAAAGGAATGACAGAAAACTCGATTCGAGTTGCTGGACTCTTTTTGTTCGTGTGTATGCACAGAGCGACACCGAAAGAGAATTTGCCGATAAGGAGGGTCAATAGAGTCCCAATGTAAAAGCACACTTAGAGTGTGTAGCATATTTCATTTGTATGTTGGGATGATGGTCTTAGATAGATAGATAGATTAATTTCGAGGTATGCACCGCGACCTATGGTCTATTGTGCCCTCCCCTAAGTCATATCGTATCATCTAGGCCCAGCATGTTGATAAATTCCAAAATTCTGCTGGGTGCTAGTGAGGCGATACAATCCCTGTGTGGAAACATGGATCCCAGGGCCTTGATTCTGCGTCTGCCGACTGCTGTGCAATTCATCAGCAGATGTTCAGGGGTTTCCGGCTCTATGTCGCAGAACCGGCAGTTTGCAGAAGAAGCTATGCCCATGTTGAAGAGGTGCTTCTTAAGCCTGCAGTGGCCGGTGTAGAAAGCGACAAGTAGCCGGAATTTGTTCCTTGGGAGATTAATTATGGTTTTGAACCGTTTGTGGTCGTAACCCCCCATTAGCAGTCTGGCATGGTGCATGCCCTGAAGTTGTTGCCAATGTGTCTCCCTACCTACTCTTTCCTCCCTACGGAGGAGCTCTTTGATTGTATGTGGACCAACCGCTATGAATGGTTTCGGTCCTATCATTTTTGTGGAGGCCGCAGAGCGGGCCAACTCGTCAGCCAGTTCGTTTCCGGCTATACCCCTGTGGCCAGGCACCCAAATAAGGTGCACTCGGTTGTGTTCTTATAGGCTGTTCAGCCGTTCTATACACTCCAGCACTAGAAGAGATCTGACCTCATAGGCAGAGATCGCTCTTAGTGCCGCCTGGCAATCGCTAAGTATAGCAATACTTTTATTGCGATAGTTGCGTTGGAGGTTTATCTCTACACACCGACTTATAGCATAGACCTCGTCTTGGAAGATGCTCGGGAAGCTTCCCATGGGAATGGAGAGTTTGGGGCTTGGCCCAGCGACCCCTGCACCAATCCCCTCCTCTGTTTTTGACCCGTCGGTGTACCACTTGATAGTACTTTCCCGTAGCAGCAGGTCTAGTGATGAATTATTCCATTCAGACTTGCTGCCAAGGGTGACTTTAAACTTCCTGTTGAAGTTTACTACTTTGGTAATGCTGTCCCTTGGAAGAAGGGCTAATGGTATTTCCTCACTTAGCGCTTATATCTGCTGGGATGAGATTACCTTCCCTTTGCCAACTCCCTCTAATGTCATTTGGAGTAGAGTTCGTTTGGCTGTCTGTTTGATTACCAGATGTAGCGGTGAAAGTTCCAGCATGACTTCCAGTGCTGCGGTCGGACACGTTCGCATTGCTCCCGACGCGCAGATGCAGGCAAGTCTTTGCAGCTTCGACAGTTTGAGTCCTACCGAAGTCTGCATTGCTTTAGCAACCCACGATACTGCTCCATACGTGATAATCGGTCTCACAATCATGGTGTACATCCATCTGATTGTCCTTGGGGAGCACCCCCAGGATTTCCCAGCAAGTCGGTTGCACACCATGATTGCTTTTGTGGCTTTGGTTAAGGTCTGGTCCACGTGCTGCTTCCATCGTAGTGTGGAATCCAGCGTGAGGCCCAGATATTTGACCGTGTTGGCCATCTCCACCACTCTGCCGTCAAGGGATATGCTCCTGAGGCCTGGCAGTGATGATGGTCTTACACCCTACAAGAAACTGGTGATGGGTTCACCAATACACTCACATTTATTATGTTAGTACTGACTCTACTTTTACGTACAGATTCTTTTGTAACCCAAACCGGTTTATTGAGGGCGAGGGGACGACGAGGAAAGACGAAGGGACCGTGCCACTCGTGTTCAGACTATTAAGCGGGTAGGTATTATGCATATTGTTCTACCATATTCATGGTAATTCATTGCAAGCAAAATGTGTGACAAACATCTCAACATACAAATGAAATGCAACACGCTCTAAGTGTTCTGGCTTCTTTTTGACCGTGTGAATGTACAGAGCGACACCAAAAGAGAATTTGAAAAATATGAGGGTCAAAAGAGTCCCAATGTAAAAGCCGTCTGACGGACAGTTTACTTATCCACTGACCGTCACTGTTATTGTTAAACAGAGACATCTTCGAATCATATTGTTTACATGTGCAAGAATGTAATTACTGAATACTTTACTCAACAACTGCGCAAAACAATTTTTAGTGTTCTTCTTGCCACAAACGAAAAGTGTTGCACGCTTCTTTTGGGTTTGGTGTCAAAAATATACATTTTTTTAAAGGAGAGGAGTTTTCAAATATACTTAAATAAGTTCCAATAAAACTATTTATTTAGTTAATTTCCGTTTGTATTTTTAAATTCAGAAATATCCACTGATTAAGGAAAGACGTACGCAGAGCAATTTAGGGGGGAGGGGGGAATGGCATCAAGTGAAAATTTCATTCATATTTTATTATTTAATTATACTTTTTGTTGCAATACTTTTAATTGTATGCAATTATTATAAATAATTTTGATTAAAAGTTTAAAATTTATTAAAGAAATAAAAATTATATTATCGTCTGCGCAAAAGAATTTTTCACAACTTTGTTCTGCGCGCTGACAAAATTTTTCAGCTGTGACTGTCACTTTTCTTGTAGGGCATTTCGCTTGCAATGAATTACCATGAATGTGGTAGAACAATATGCATAATACCTAACCGCTTAATAGTTTCAAAGAAATACTTAAGTCGGGAATTCCCTAATTCACCAGAAGGTATGCTAATAATATTTCCAAGGTCAAATTCATAAAAGGAATTTCCTAATCTTTAAGTATTAAAACTTAGTCAAGATCCACTTCCTTGGCTTTGATTCTTGCAAATTGTGAGAATATGGAATATTCGGTTAAAAATAATCTTAACCCATTACTTGTTTACTCAATGAATGTTTACATTATTTGTTGTCAGATGAAGCTTTATAGTGTCTGGTATTTTACAGTCACGAGTTATATCTTTTATTTCTTGTTTCTATACTCCGATGAACTAAAGAAATAATTCTGAGCAAGTAATTTGAAAAATAGCAAATTTTTGTGCATTTATTTGATGTTTAATATTCGGACTGAATATATGGTATAACGATTACAATACTTACAAATTAACACTTTTCGACAAAGATGTATAAGTACAATGTTGTGCGAAAATAAAATAATCATGTGCGAAAATAAAATAATTTTATGTGCACTACAACAAATATCTTCCAATTTTACACTCTTTTGCACCATTCTTTTCTTCAATTGGAAATAGAGGTTATGACAATTTGTCAGTCTGTTTTTATATACATATACAGTCTACATATAAATATTTCCAACAGGCACATACATATGTATATATTGCCAATATATTAGTAGATTTGTTGAATGTTGTCAATTCCAAGATCCCTTAGTTTTTAATATAAAATGTAAATATTGTATATTTTCTGTTCTATATTTTTACATTTGACTATTATTTATAAAACTATTCGTACTTTCAATTCCTTCTACTGTAAATGCAGTGTAAACGCATAAGTTACATTGATATGAGGTTTTCAGAAGTCACAATTTGTTGACGTTGTTCTTTTTTGATTTAAAAACTGAATGTAGATATATCAGAACAACTTTTTCATACATATACAATATTATATAATAATATTAAATATACATACATATATGTAAATATCGGTATGAGTTTAACTTTGATTTAAGTATCCAAATTCATAAAATATACTTAATATATATTTAATTGCTTTGTGAGTGGCAAATTTGTAGGGAAATATTTTTTACAATGCGTTTACATCAAAATTTACTTTTATGAATTTGGATATCGATTTGTTTTATCTGAACTTAAGAACTTGAAAATCTCACATTCAAAATTGTTAGCGTAATCGGTATTAACTTAGTTTGTCTAAGGATTATTTTCATAGTTATCGTGAAGAGGCATCAAAATGCAGGCACTTTTGTTTATACGGTAGCAGAGGCTAATGCTTTCTGTACTTATTTACTTTCTTTCAGTTACTTAATGACTTTACATTCTGTATATTTGACTTTTGAAATATTACATAATATACATCGCACACTATAAATTCTATACCCAAAAGGCAGTTCAGACGATTAATGTGTTGTTGCATTTAAAACCGGTGTGATCGCCCAATCGGGAAATGAATTCAAGTTAGGGTACACCACCGCACCCCACGTGAGACTGAAAACGTACAATACGACTATACTGATGACTGTTGGGCCAATACCAGCGATTGCCTGTAAAAATTTAAATAATTATTAATTTTAATCTAAACACATTTTGCGTAATTGTAGGATATAGAAAACGCAAATTCTTATAATATGTGTATATCATAATTTATTCAGAGTTGACATTAAACTGTACAGTTATACAATGGAATGATGAACTATGAACCAATATGAACATATTGTTAATCAGGTATTCAAACAAGAAGTATAGAAGGGCTAAGTTGGGGCAGCCGAACATTAGGTATTTACGCAAATTGTAAGGAAGGCCTAGTAAATGTTATTTTTAACAATAAAGTTTTAAAATAATATTTTGCGTATGAATTAAATGTTCATTATTATCAAAATTGTATCTCAATTAAATTAAAAATGGCATTACAGTGGAAGTGGGCGTAGTGGCGAACATTAAAAAAGAGTCAAGAGAGAGATGCTAAATTTGGTCCAACCAAATTAGGTTATTTGAGAGCAAATTCACATGAAAGGTTGCTCTATAATTCTTTTAGATAAACTGAAGTTATAATACTTAGACCTGTTCGTTAAAGATTAACGTGCTTACTGTTATATTGTGGAAACATAAATTAAGTTTGGTTGATATAAGATGGGAGCAGAACGTACAAAATTTAATTAAAAGAAAATAATTTTACAATTTGTGAGACACGAAATTTTATCTGGAAGTAGGCATTATCACAACCAAAGTATAATTTTTGTATCAACCTACGTATGCCTAAGATTGAACAGTACTACGCTACGAGGATGGACGCAGTTATTACCCGAGTTGGTGAGAAAAGGTAAGTTTTCATCGAACTTTGTGAGTGATATCCAGAAGTTTATCTTCCTACGATAAACTAGAATTTCTAAGCTTAATTACAGAGCACTCGCAAAGTTCGATTTGTAAAGTAAATGTTTGTGCTCTATTTTAGTGCTGTGCTTACTTAAATGAAATAACATTTCGTTTAAAGGGTTATTAATATTGTGTGAAACACAAGTTACGTTAAATAATGATACTAATAACACATGGGCTGAAGATGACGGGGCCTAACAAAGAAAAAACGATTTTTTTTTGTTCGAAATTGGCTTTATTCATCAATATAATGAACAATCATTCCAGTGCAGCTCTAACATTTCAATACCACTTTTGTAGAATGATTTATCTTTTGCCTCAAAATAGGACTCAATTTCAGTGATAACCTCTTCATTCGAGCGAAATTTCTTACCGGCAACATACAGATGTAATATCAAAGCAAGTCTCTGAGCATAATTTTCATTGAATGATCAGCTCTGTTCACTCTCCACTGTTAAAATTTCTCCTTCCGAGCTAGCTGAGGCATAGATAAAATGATCCGAGACTCCTCTCTTTGCCTTCTGAGAGAGCTCATGAACTTTCAGTGCTGCCAAAAAACCACGAGTTCATGAGCTAGTGAACAGATGACAAGCAAGACAATGAGCTTCCACTAAGAATCCCGCAGAAATAAATTGCGAAATCAGATTTTTTGGTGACTTTTACGTATATTTCTAATCTTTATTTAAAGAGATTTAATATAGTTTTGTTTTTAGGAAAGAGCGGTATTTTGTCGCAGAGTATTGTTTTGCTTAGCAGTACTAATTATCAACGTATATACTTATTTTGGTTAGAATTCCCAGCAAATGTTATGTAAACTTTGACTCCCGAATAAATTAGCAAAAGATATTTGTTTATTGAGTATATTTAAAAGAAATAAGAATCATGTTTAGGTTATTTAAAACTTGTGTGTTTTGAAATATTAAAATATTTTGTTAAATTTAGTTTTAAACGTTAATTTTGAAAATTTTTTGTGATTAAAATATACATATACTTATATTTAGAAGTCATATAGGATATCTAGCTTGTTAAACTAATTTTAATTATGTATATTTTTCTGTAAAATGGAAACCGAAAAATACCTCAGAAATACATTAAAAAATCTCAAAACTTATTTCTTTCCTTAGTGGCACCACTGTCAAATGTTATAAAAAATGTGGACTTTGACAGCGCTTTCTCGAATCAAAGAGTTTCGGATCATTTTATCCATGAGTTGAGGTGAAATCCACTACTAAAATACTACTACTATTATTTGCCAGTTTTGACAATTCACACGCTGGTCTGCAATTGAACTTTCTCTATAATATACGTTCTCTGCTGAAAATTAGGAGAACTCAATAAAACTATGTATGTGTGAGTCCCGATCATTTTCAGCCCATGTGTTATGATACTTTTAATTACTTACCATGTCTTTTGATCTAATATTTGCGTAGCCGGCAACCAGTGCATTAGGCGGTGTACTCACTGGCAAATGGAATGCCATACTGCAGGCAAGACCAGCAGGCAATATCAAGTACAGAGGATGAATTTTAATTGCCACTGACTGAAAAGATAAAATTTTTATAGACTTAAAAATTTATAATTTGTTAAAGGGCACACCTAGTGTGAAATTTCGAATAAATTAAATTAATTTTTATTCTTTTATATAGCGATAGTCTATGCCTCCAAAAATAACATACTAAAATTTTAAATTAATATTTCAAATATGTTGGAGTTAGAGTTAGCAATCAGTTATTATTAAACGCGTTTTTCTCAAAACAGCATTTTTTTAATTTGCTGCTGTGATTACTGGAAAATAAATAATCTGATCACTATCCATTTTTTTCTTTATATAGCTTTGTTCTGTATATAGTTTTCCCTACAACGCCCTACCAGCTTGTTTATGTGTTTAATTTAAACTTTTTTTTTTAACGCACGGACAATATCTTCTAGTCGATTAATTTTTTTTGGTTTCATCCACGGAGAAGGCCGGAATTACTGCAGCAGCGAGGACTCTCTTTTAGCGCCTCATATACCTCGAAAAAGTTATAGTATGTATTCTTAAGATATGTATAATTATTTTCTTGAAACTATAGAATAATAGTTTTTTTAACTCCAAAAATCGCCTTTTTAGGCTGTCATATTAGGTGTGCCCTTTAAGCAGATCAACGATTTTACCATTTCAGCTAACACGGGAATAATAATATTTGCGATGGCTACGTTAGAGCTGAACGCTGTCAAAAATACAGTCACTAAAATCACTACCAACAGGAGAACGGGGTGGGGAAGGCTCTTTAACACAACCAGGGCGTTGCCAATCATGGATGCCATACCGCTGACTTTGCTACCCTCAGCGAGTGCGAAACCGCCACCTATGAAATATACGTAGGTTTATATGAGTATGATATTTTAAATACTCGTACCAAAATTGGTTTTATTATTCATCACTCATTTCATTACGTATATGGTAAGTAATATTCTGGAAACTATAATTTCAATCTAAAAACTTACCAAGCAAGAAAATAAGACCCCACGGTACTTTTGATTGAATAAATTTCCAGGTAACCAATGATGGTGTGGGAGCAGTAGTGAACGGACCTGTTAATCAAAAAGGACTTGAAAGTATATTTATGTAAAAAGAAACAAATTAACATACGTTTGCATAGACAATAACGTAGGAAAGCATAATTTGCTGGTAAAACGAAGCACATGACGACTACAAATATCGTTGGCATTGAATTACGAATATCTCTAAGGAAATAAAAATATATTTAGGCAATTTTTTATTATATGCAAACGTTCAATTACTTTGCGTTCAGCCAGTCCGCCCAACCCGGGAAAATTCCGGGTTTACGTGTAAAATACATAACAACCATGAAGATGAAAAGTATCATAACTTGTATTTCATGCGCTTTCATTGGACCCAATTCCTTGTAACGTTGATCGATAACTTTTTTGGCAACATCGGCGCCATTCTGACCCATTCTAACTTCCTCAGCTTCTTTGGTTTTTGGACGGAACAATCCCATAAAGTGCCATTGCAGCCAAACGAATGTTAGGCCTGTGTATACCAACATTGAGGGTACTGAATAGAACATGAATGTTGGGAAATCCATTTGTTCCGTAGATGTTGGGAAACGACTGAGAAGTGGACATTTTCAAAAATTATAAATAAAAATGATTTCAAAAATAGACTAAACATGCAATGTTTACCCATCATAGATGCCTTTGAAAGTTAAATTTGTTGCTGTGCCAATAATTGTGCCACATCCTCCCATAGAGGAAGCATAAGCGATGCCCAAAAAGTAACACAATGTCATTTTCGATGGATATGGTGGTCTGAAAGTTATATATAAAAAATATTTAAACATACTGTACTACGCACACCTATACAACTAACTAAAACACATTAAATCAGTAGATATCTAAAATATCTAAGAAGAGTACTTAGACTAGTATAATACATTCAAGAATGTCCATAATATTAATAAAATTAGTTACCTGAGGGAAAAAATGAAATATAATAAATTTGAAAGTAACTATCAAATACATGCATATGTACTTTCAATTTATAATCTATTTATACTAATAATATAAAGAGAAAAGTTTGTTTGAATTGAATAGGCTCCATAGCTACTTGACGGAATTTTTTCACCGTTGGGAAGCTAAATTTATTTTTTTTCCTTAGTCTTAATCCTTAGCAAAATGAATTATTATTAAAATAAGTATTAGAAAAGAGTTTCGTGGTGAGCGGCGACCCGCTTGGCTAGGCTGCAACATAATATGTGTTGTAGGCGTCATTGAGTCAATGGAGGAGAGTCAATGTCATGAAATAAAGTGCGGTGCGGCTCACTTGCCCAGTTGGCTCCATCTTATTGTCTAGATGAGATGGAGTAATCTGGTAGTACTTCATAAAATTATGAATAATTTGGATATGCTTAAGAAAATATTTATTTAAGTTTTACCGTTACTGAACCAAATTATGTATTGTTACAATAGTTTATCTGGTTTAAGAATAAAATTGATAATCAATCGATGATAATTACAATAACTTTTCGAAATATTTCCCCTTGATTTAAACACACAAACACTAGAAACGCGACTCCAACTTTAGTAGCATATGATTTAAGGTAACTCTACGGGTACAAATTGAACAACCAATTACTAATATATTAAGTCGAATTTTCAGTGCTATGATTATGTCATATATTTAGATAACAACAAAACTTAATAATGATTGATTGTGAATATGAAAAGAATGTTATGCACCGAATTTGGTCGAAATCGATTAAGCAGATCCCAAGATATGGGTTTTCACCTAAAAGCCGCGGTGCCACGCCCACTGACTAATTTTGAACGCGGTTCTTATAAAGTCATCTTATACCATCCGAGAGATAAAATTTAATGTCTATGGCGTGTTTAGTACTTGGTTTATCGTGCTTTTAGTATTTTTTAACAATACCGTTATATGGGGAGTGGGCGGGCCGATTTCAGCCATTTTCACACCGTCAATAGAGGTGCTAAAAGCATTTGCTTCCAGTGAATTTTGTTATTATTGCATTAGAGGCTTAGGAGATATGCACATTAAACCTATTAAAGGCGGGACCAAGCCCACTTTTAAAAAAAATTTTAACTGCAGATGCCCCTCCTTAACGTGATCCTTTGTACCAAATAACAGTCTTGTATCTTATTGCGGAGCTTAGTTATGGCAATTTCTTTGTTTTTAATTAATGGCGTTTTGTTGGAGTGACAGCCGTCCGATTACGTCCATCTGCAATACCAATCGTCTTACGGTACCAAGAAACATGAGCACCAATTTTCATGAAGATATCTCAATTTTTACTCAGGTTACAGTTGCACGGACGGACGGACGGACAGACAGTCACCCGGATTTCAACTAGTCTCTTCATCCTGATGATTTATATATACATAACCCTATATCTAACTCGATTAGTTTTAGGTGATAGAAAAAACCGTTAGGTGAACAAAACTATTATACTCTGTAGCAACAAGTTGCGAGAGTATAAAAAAATATTGCAACTTACTCTTCTTCTGCGGTATTGTTCTTCTTTCCGACAATCTGATATTTAGGTTCCTGTGTCATTTTACATAATCCTTGCTGTTTGAGAAATCCAAAATAGATATGTATATTAAGTATTAATTTTTATTCAACAAGTATTACCGCTTGAAGTTCTTCCAAAACAGCTTGTATAATTGGACACATCATTGCTGTGCAGGCAGCATTGGAAATCCACATCGATATAAACATTGTTACCGCAATAAGGCCAAAATGTAATCTGTAAATAAGTTGTTTAAACATTAAAATTATTTATTTCTTACTAACAGACGCCCACTTGATTTATTTGAGTTATCATTTAATACATTTTCGTATTATACAAGTTTATTGATTATATCATACACATACAAACCTTCTTGGACTGCAACCAACCAACTGAATAACTCGTAATGCCAAACGTTTATGTAAATTTGAATACTCGACTGCAAGTGCCACCATAATGCCACCCATAAACATCACTAAGGTATCCTTGAAATATAATCGACACGTCTGATCGGAGCTCTAGAATTTAAACGAATTATGAAGCAATCACATAAACTTTTTGTGGATACCACCTACCATTATTCCCATAATGGGAAAAGCGACTATTGGGATCATAGAGGTGACATAAAGTGGCAGTGCCTCAGTAACCCAATAAACTGCCATGACCAAGAGCAAATACATGCAACGATATGCCTAGAAGAGTTGAGTTGTTTTCATTATTAAGTACTTTGAAATCAAGTTAAAATATGCTCTTTCTTAAAAATGAAAATTCTATTTTCAGAGCACATTATTTAACCTTTAATTTACTTACGGGCGTGTTGTCCATCAGCATGACAGGGAGGGCAAGGAGTGGTGTTAGGAATACGACCAAACCCTTCCAGTGAAACGAGAAGAAATTTTTGGCATTTTCGCTATATGTTGTTGGGGGTGTTGTGGGATTCCCCACTTCACTATTAACAAATTGTAATTGACATTTAAATATTTATTTGAGATAAAAGTAAAACAAAAGCGAAAATTACATTTCCATCTTGAGCATTTATAATCCCCAGGTGCTGGTCCTAAAAATAGAAAGAACATTTAGATTATTAAATATTGAATGCAATTTATATAAAGCATATGATTATTTGTGTAGTTGGTAAAGTTTAGTTGATTACTTGAGTTAGTTATAATATTACTATAGTTTTTCAATTTCCTTTTCTTTTTAACAAAAAAACTAATAAAAAAGCAACTTTAAAACATGGTGGTGTTCAACAACTTTTTAAATGACCTTTGTAAACGAATTTTGGCAAAATTAAATATCTCATTCTCTCATGTTAAATGCACACACTCCAAGAATATCACTGGCATAAACTAAACTTCAGTAGGATCGCAAAACATTAATAATTGCTGCTGTGTCAAAACGTTTGAGTCAGTAAACTTCAACATATAAAACAATAAACCGTATTTTTTCGGGCACAATCGGGTGAGGATGGTACTTGAAGACTATCACACGCATCTGTTTGAATACAATTCTTTGTTATTATTGCTTTTTATACTCTCGGAAAATGTTGCTACAGAACTATTTTCCCCATCAGATAACTTTTCAAAAAAAAAAATTTTATTAACCGTGTAACAACCTAATATTGACTGAAAATGCAAGTGAACTCTCAAGATCTTGTATTTATAAATGCTTTGAAATGCAAAATCATGCCGCCTAATATTAACATTGCATTGACGTTAAACTTGATGAATATAAAGTTATAATTTCGAGTAATGTTGATTGACATGCTCTCTGCAGAGAATGTGTTGTGTGTTCAATAATCTTGCGATCTTATTCTTACAATTGTTATTGAAGTCCGCTCGAAGAAGACGCAGACAGCGTTAAAGAACTTCATTTGTTGTCAACTAATATTGATTGTAAATAAAAGAACTAACTACTAGTTAATGATTAATTTAACACTAAAACACTATTTTTGGCTATTTTCGACCGAAATACTCGCAGTAGTGGAGACGAGTTAAATTCCGAGTGGCTGTCTGTCCGTCAGTTGATACAAAGCGAAAAACGAAAGTACTCTATATGTACTAGCGAATCTTAGGTAGATAAAGATCTTGAGTTTTATCTTATTTTAGATGACACGAGTTTCTATAATCATCGTTACTCGTCGAGATCTTCTTAAAAAATATGGTTTCGAAGATTGGGCCAGCAGCCACCATTTTTTTTAAATCAAAATGGCAATATACAATTTTTTTTATATTATTCATACATATGTATATACCCATTTTACATGTATGAAAGGAAGGGACTCGATTCCCTTTTGCTTACTTTTAAAATAAATTATCAAAGTTACGCCTTTTTGCTCGCAGACTTACCTAACTCCTTAAGATTGATGCAAACCTCCCGGTTTTCACCATTTCAATCAAAAAATGGTGTTCAATAGAATTTGCGAAACAATAGATGTTATTATCGAGGATATTAAATGTTTTGTAAATTTTCTTTCGATTTTTCGTTTTGATTATTGGTGATTTTTATCTAGTTCCTTAAAAATGGGCATTTAATGCAAAACCAGAAAAGTTTGAAAATAGTTCACAGTTTAAAGATTTACATACAATACATACATACATTTGTATGTAATTGGTATGACTTTCAAATATTGAAGTTGTTATTCGATTTTGTCGGAAATATTAACAGAATGCCCAGAAAAGACCATATTCTAAAAAAAATGTTAAATAAGATATTTCATGAAAAAATTATTAATAATATATTGGAATTTATCGTAAATACAATGGACTACTAGGATGGTTTAAATGATATTTTGACATAATTCGCAGAAACTAATTTGACTGACTGGCAAGAAGAATAACAAAGTATATAAAAATTGTTGCACATATTAGGAAGTAAACAAACCAAACAGGTTCGTTAGGTTCGTCGGAGTCATACATACATACTTATATATTTAAACTTATACTTATATACATATGTACGCATATGTTGCTTTATGTGTTGATAAAATCAAATTCCCACAATTATTCATTAAGGTCGTCTTAATTGGGCAATTGACTGCCACTTTTTTCAATCACAAAACAATTTATTAATTGCGACCAGCGGTAAAGAATATCAGAACAAATCTAAACGCACATGTAATGTATGCATAAGGTTTAAGAAACTTAACTACATACATAAATACATATAAATATATGTATGTATGTACGTATGTGGTTCCATTTAGTGATAATTGAAAGCACTATTTTATTAAAAAAAACCGATGTGCCCGAATGAATATTTCACTTTTATATGCATTACATTTAGGTACATATGTATGTATGTATATGAATTTATTTGTTTCGTGCTAGTTGCCAGATGTACATACATACATATGAACAAGGCATAGTGGTAAGTCAGCTAAATACACTTTCATATTCACATTTGTGTTTGCACATATTTACATGTATGCATACATACGTACACGTGTATATACATACGTACAGCGCGTGACCATTATAGTCGCCCCATCGGCTCCAATATATTGTATAAGCATATATATATTTTAGATGTGCATATCTGTTGACACCTGCTTACGCTTCTAATAACGAGTGAGTTTTCAAAACGCCCTAGCTACTAAAATACTCACATATGTACATATATATAAGTATATTAAACAAGAAAAAACGTTAACTTCGGTTGCGCCGAAGCTATAATACCCTTCACAAAAACAAAGGCCCCTTACAAGAACTTGATTCCGAACGTTCAATTTATATGGCAGCTATATGATATAGTGATCTAATCTGACCAATTTCTGTGGAGAATAATTTGTTGCCTTAAGCAATAACTCGTGCCTAATTTCGTGAAGATATCTCGTCAAATAAAAAAATGTTCCATGCAAGCACTTTACTCCGATCGTTCAGTTAATATGGCAGCTATATGCTATAGTCATCCGATCCATACAATTTCTTCGGACATTAAATTAATGCTTTAAATAATAATACATGCCAAATTTCGTGAAGATACCTCGTCAAATGAAAGAGTTTTCCATACAAGCACTTCATTCCGATTGTTCAGTTTGTATGGCAGCTATATGCTATAGTCATCCGATCTGAATAATTTCTTCGGAGATTACATTGTTGCCTTAACTAATAATCCCTGCCAAATTTCGTGAAGATACCTCGTCAAATGAAAGAGTTTCCCATACAAACACTTGATTCCGATTGTTCAGTTTGTATGGCAGCTATATGCTATAGTGGTCCGATATCGGCCGTTCCGACAAATGAGCAGCTTCTTGGGGAGAAAAACTGTTCAAAATTTCAGATCGATATCTCAAAAACTGAGGGACTAGTTCGCGTATATACAGACGGACAGACGGACGGACGGACAGACAGACGGACATGGCTAAATCAACTCAGCTCGTCACGGTGATCATTTATATAATATATATACTTTATATGGTCTCCGACGTTTCCTTCTGGGTGTTACAAACTTCGTGGCAAAATTAATATACCCTGATCAGGGTATAAATATGGAAGTATTTATATGCACATGCATATGTATACCATATATACATAAATATGTTCATATAAGTGTACAAAATACACTGTACGTACACTTATATTTTTATTTTTATTTTGCATGGTTATATAATCAATCGACGACGGGGACAAACGTATAAAAACAGATCGAAAACACTTACCTAAGAACATTCACCGCTAGCAGCGAGGACAATTAGTTGCTATATTTCTGCTGGGGGTATAGTGAATGTATTTAGATAGCCGCGTCATAACGGGTTACGTAACTGTAGAATGCTAATGCCCATCGGAACATCTATACGCATATGACTAAATATACATGCTTATATATATTTATGTACATAAGTATGTGTTAATACATATGGCTGTTGTCTGCTTGTTAAAAAATGCAAAGATATTGTTTTGGAAATCGGTTTATGAATCGATACAAAAAAGGCTAATATGTGCAGAGGGTGTGTTCGGTTAAATATGCAAAGAAACTAAAAATAGAATGCACTTTGCTTCGCAGTGTTTCCAATTAGGTGCGGATCGCTGTAAAGTGTTAAGAAGGCTAGAACTTATACATATATACATACATATGTATATAGCAATAAAAGTGCGTTTACATTTGAATCATGGGAAGTGAGATATTGGAAAGGTAACCAAATGCAAGATCAGCTAATCGCATCATTCAGCTAAGACGACAAGCCTTCTATATACGAAAGGGTATAGAATTTGGAAAAAACTACTTCAGCAGCGAATAAAAATGTATTTAGACATTTTCTGCTACACTACCAGATGTTTTCTATCGATTTATTTAAAAATAGGGGTTTCAGCAAAATGATGGATGCAGCAAGTCTTGTCTTCGTTAACTCAATGCTTGCCGCTTAATAAGCAACGATAATAAAGAAATGAAAGGGTCTCATCCTCGTAGCGGAAACTTTTCTCCAAAGAGATACCATAAAAATAAATAATTCATTAGAAACCCTCTCTTGGGGAATTAAAGAACGTATTCTCGAAGAATGGATCATTTCACGAACCCTTATTCGACCCAGGTTTCAACAGTGTCACAATACAAAACAAAAATAGAAAGACTATTAAAATATTATGTATTCATAATCATTATAAATAAACGGAATCTTAATTGTATTAAGGGGTCATATGGGTTTCCCCGAGCGAAAAACGGTCCGTTTTCAATAATTTTGTTTCTCATAAAAAAAATTAAATTTTTTGTTCAACACATATTTATAAAGATTTTGTGAAATTTTCAAAGGAAAATATTTAAAACTCTATGTTTTTTTTAAAGTATAATTGAAAAAAAAGAATCCTTTGATCAAAATTTTGTAATTTATATCTCGAAGACCTGTGCAAAATTTCATTAAAATCGGCAGAGTAGTTCGCGAGAAAGTTAGACAACCGACTTTGAAAACACAGTTTCGAAAAAAGCGCTTATAAAGTCCCCGAGCGCGCAACTTTACGAGGCTGTATCTTCAAAACTATTACTCGGATCAAATCGATTTTTGAAGCCGTGAAGCCTTGAAGCCCATGTAACCCCTTAATGTACCCTGAAAAGAGTATATTA